TCTCCTGGTTTTTAATATAATGATAAATAAATAGGCCCACTAGGGCAGCAGCTAATAAGGTATAAGTGATTAATTGGGTAACTTCGGATTGGCTAGGCTGTAAAGCTTGTAAGCTAGTGCTTAACTGTTGAATTGAATTAAGTGGTTGTTGGATGAGAGGCATGATTTTCTTTTTCGGCCGCTAATCTTTCGGCGCGCTCTTGGCGTTCTAAAAACTTAGCACGCCGGTCCAGTTCTTCTTTGGAATAGTCACTGAGTGGCTTTAAGGGCTGATTAACTTCGATTTCCGCAGGGGAAGAAGCCGGAGTGCTAGGCTCTGAGTCATCATAAAAACTTCTAAACTTCCAGTAACTTTCACCCTTCTTATCACTGCGAACAAAGCCGATAAACTTCTGTTCGGCGATTTTCAGGATGTAAGTATTAGGCTGTTTAGGGTCCGTGTTTTTTCACAGCAATATCCTAAATTTTTGCGGGTCAATTCAGTGGCATTGGCAGTTTCCTTGCGGGAACAAGTTGCTCACTAATTGCTCTACTAAATCTCTTTGGGCCAGGGTGTTCATAAGTTTTATTCAGTTTCTTTGGGGCTAAATAGCTTATTCTTGATAGTTTGTAACAAGCCGCTATTATAAAGATAGCAGCCAATAGCAATTCCTAAGCAAGTCATTACTAACTTGCCGGTAGCTCAAGCTTTTAAGGTATTAGTTTGGTTTAATTCATGGTTCATAATTTTATTTCTTTAATTGTTGAAAAGTCATATAAGCTACCGAAGCACAAGTGCCGACGGCGGCAAAAATAAGCACGCTATAAGTTAAGGTTTTGCTTATGGTATATTCTAGTTGTTCGCGGTCAATAGTAGTGGGTTTGCGATATTTAGTTTCTTGGTTTTGGTTAATATTTGGCATAATTTATTTGTTTTGTTTTAAATGGTTGGCAATTTGGGTCAGGGTAAAGCGAATGGCTTGGATATCTTGCCTTAAAAGCTTAAATTCGTGGGCTAATTCTTTGATTTCTTGGGTTAAAAACATAATTTTATTAGTATTCTGGTTCTAGTTCGGGTTTGGGCTGGCTAAATTCTAGGCTACGCTTAGTTTCGGTAGCTAGGAGACGAAAGTTGTTATTAGTGCTGGTTAATTGTTGGCTTAAATTAGTTAGTTGACTGGAAGCATTGTTTTCTAAGTTTTCTAATTTAGTTCAAATTTGCTGTTGTTGATTTAAAACTTGGTTAAGACTGAACTGCATTTGCTGAATTCCGCTTAAAATATCGGCTAATGCTCCGGTCGGAGGTATCTTTTGCCCGGTTAACATTTCTAAACCTATAGGGATTCAAGGGATAAGGGGGAGAAGGTTTTCCGGGATTTTAAAGAGACCTTTTGGGGTTTGCTGATTATTAGGGGGAGTTTGGGCTTGCTGGAACTGGTTATTAGTTTGACCTGGTTGCTCAGTAAAAGCTTGTTGTCCCGAATTTAAATTATTTAATTTCACCATTATTGGGTTAATTTAATAATCGAATCGGCAGCAAAACAAAGTCCGCCTACGGCCGGCAATAAATCTACGGTTTGCTTAATTAGGCTCACTTTAAACATGCTCGCTCCAAATCATCATAAAGCTAAACAACTGAGCGCAATTACCAGTAATCAATGCTTTTTTTCTCACTTTCAGGCTAAATTAGG